GTGGGGGTAGGGGAAGGGGAGAGCAGAGAGAGAAAGAAGGAGGGAGGGGTAGGGAAAGGAAGAGTAGGGAGAGGGAAGGAGGGAGGGGGGTGGTATCTTGGTGTGTGCCACACCTTTTGGGGGCAAGACACAATTGTAAGAGGGACTTTACCTAACAAATGCAATCAGTGTAACCTGGTTTCTTGTACCCTCAATGAATCCCCAACAATAAAAAATAAAAAGAAGCAGAGGGTTTAGTCACTTACTGTAAACGCATTTGCAGCCCTGGACCAGGGGAGGTGGAAACCCTGTGTGGGTCCCCACCACAGCCACATGTGGGCCAGTTTAGACTTGTCACAGTGGCCCAGGAGGGTCCTACAGTGGAAGGGGCTGGCTAGGGGCTCAGGGGTCCTCCAATGCATTTGCCCACCCTAGGCCCTGAAGGATGGTCCTGGGGCCTCCTCCCTCCCTTCCCCATCCCCAGGGTCCTGCTGCCAGCTAGAAGCGCCGTCTGCCCTGGCTGCTGCAGAAGCAGGATGTCCTTTAGAGAGGCCCACTCCAGAACTCAAAATAGCATGAAATTTAATTTTCCGCCTATTTGACAAGGCTTGGTTCAGGCCCTGATTAGCAGCAGAGATAAGGGTCCCGGAGCCCAAGGTGCAGGCCAGCTGGGCCTGCAGCAAACACTCCACGGTCCCCGGGCAGGCCGTGTACAGGTGAGGCCAGTCTGCAGGTGCTCCCCCAGTGGGGCCCTGGTTGCCGGGCGCTAAAGCAAACGGGCTCTATTTGCCCAGTCTGGGATGACAATGCCGTCACCAAATATTTGCCAGTCCCAGGCGGCTGCAGAGCCTGGCTATAAATGCTTGAGCCCAGGTGGAGGTGGGCCTGCCCAGTGAGAGCTGCAGGCCTTGGCCAGGTAGGTGCCTGGGCTCTGGGGCGGGTAGGGGCTCAGGGCCTGTGAGCCCTTCTGTCCAGGTGCCCTGCAGGGACTAACCACAGGGAGAGTCCCTGCAGTGCTAGGCTGGCCCAGGGTTGGGTTGGGTGTGGGGTCAGGCGGCTGGGGACAGGGTGTCTGTCTGGGCTGCCCAGTGCCAGGGCCACCAGAAGACTCCTTGGGTGGGGGGGTCCTCAGCAGTGTGAGCAAAATGAGGACAATGGCATGGCCTGCAGGTAGGAGGAAGGCCCCAGCAGCTCACCTCCTGCATGTGAGGGAGGGGCAGGTACCCAGGTCAGCTGACCTCCCTACCTCCCCTCCATCTCTTTCACTTTTTTCCTCCCTCCTGTTGGGGCCCCTGCCCAGAAAGGTTCAGAATGTTCTTACATTATAGAGGGGCTGGGGGCACTTGTCCGTAGGGTGGGACTTGGGGTTCAGAACCAGCCCCTCCTTGGCAAGTGTTCAGAAGGAGAGCTGCTCCTGACCCCGTCGGTCACTTCCCCAGACTCTCACCCTTACCTCTCTTGAGTGTCCTGAACAGGCACAGTGGCCTCTGTGGCCCTCTTCAGGGAGACTCTGCTGTGGCTGCCCTGCCATCAGTGGGAGGTGCCTAGCTGGGGCTGCTGGGAGCAGGTCAACCTTTTGCTGTGACTGCAGGCTGTGCTCAATGGGACAGCACAGCTTGCCCTCCATCAGACCCACCCATTGATCAAGAGCCATAAAGCCCCATGGCTCTGTCTCAGAAGCTCCTCACCTAGCCCTGAATGGCCACCATCCCCCTCCTCACTCTCTGGGCAGTCCTAGCACCTGGGACTCCTAGGACTGCCCCACATAGAACACAACTGACTGACTGCTCTGGGACAGTGACCAGCCCCAACCTGGAATAGCTCCCATGTCCCACACTCCAGCAAGGTCTCATCCCATGGTGGCCACCCCACTGATGCCATGGCCACACGCCCTCAGTGCCTGCCATGTCCCTCTCTGCATCTCACCCCTGCAGAACTTGTGCCCTCACCAAGCATTGCCTGCAGTGGTCAATCCCCCATGGGGCTGGGGCTTCTGGTGTGGGGTCAGAGTGCAGTGGTTGCCCAGTGGCCAGGGAGCAGCCAGGGCTGTCTGAAACTTGCCCATCTCTGCTTCCTTCCCCAAACAGTGGCTGGTACCTCTTGGGAGACAGTGAGGAGATGGCCACTGGAGTGATTCGGCCCCTATGTGACTTCCGGCTGCCACCCCATTCCTTCCTGCCCTCAAACCTGGAGCCACCAGAGATGGAAGAAGAGGAGGAGGAGGAGCTGGAGCTGGAAGGTGAGGGGCCAAGGGACTGCAGCCTGGCCCCCCAGTGCTCAGGCAGGGCTGAGGCCACGGAAGTGGCCCTTCAGTGTCCCAGCCGCCCCGAGACACCACTGCAGCTGCTGCAATTCTCTGAGCTCATCAGCAGTGATATCCAGAGGTACTTTGGTCGTAAGGACAAGGGGCAGGACCCAGATGCCTGCGACATTTATGCTGATGGCTGTCCAACCCGCAGCCCTTCCAGGGAGGAAATCTACTATGCTGACCTGGTGAACCTGGTCCAGGCTGGACCCTTGGGGGACAAGGAGTCCCCTGAGCCCAGGGTCAGCTCACTGGGAGGCCCCAAGGGTCAGGTACTCACACTGGGCATCAGCAGGGATGCGGCACAGCCGCTGGGACCCCTGGCTGAGCTCTTCGACTACGGTCTCCGGTGCTATGTGGAGCCTAGGGCGCCAGCCGGCTGCAGAGAGAGGCTGGAGCGCAAGTACGGCCATATCACACCCATGGCCCAGAGGAAGCTTCCCCCATCCTTCTGGAGGGAACCTGCCCCCAGCCCCCTGGGCCTGCTCCACCCTGGTACACCAGACTTCAGCGATCTGCTGGCCAGTTGGTCAGCTGAGGCCTGTCCTGAGCTTCCCAGTGGGGTGGCTCCAGCCCTAGATGGGGCCCAGCTGGCTGAGGCCTAGCAAGTGGCAGGCCTCTCCCTAAGGCATCGTTCTCCTCCTGCCCTCCCAGGACAGCCGCTAGGCCCTCCATCCAGGGCACCCCAAGTCCAGCAGTCCCCAGTCCCTGGACTGGGAAAGAGCCAAAGCAGTGGGGATGCCTAGGTCTGGCTCTCTCTGGCCCTTGGCTCCAAGAGAGTCCCACATAGGCACAGGGGCCCTCAGAACTCCATCCACAGTGGTAGGACCTAGGCAGAAGCTATAGCTGCTCCAAGGTCACAAGCTCAGGGGGCTCTGCACTCTGGGTCCCCCAGGGAACCTGAGACTCCAAGCTGGCAGCCAGGGCAGCCAGGACAGAGCCTATGCCAGGCTGGCCCTCCCTGCAGCCTGCCTGCCAGCCCCGGTGGGTTCTAGGGCTGATGGCTCCACCCCCCACCCCTGCAGCAAGGGGCAGGGCCAGCCCTTGCAGGATGAGCAGGGTCTTCTTGGAGAGGCAGAAAGAGAGGGTGCAGCTGGCTGTGAGAGCAAACACCAAACATGGGCTGTTTACCCAGGTGCTGGGGGCTGCTTCCCAGTGGGGCAGCATCTGGGGACGTCCCCACCCATGGGCTCTGGAGTAGGCAGTATTCATGAGGTTTGGTAAGGGGGATGCTGGGCTAAGGTGGGACAGGAAGAGCCCTGGAGAGTGGGACAAGGCCGGAGACCCTCTGGTCTCAGCCACTCCCACTGCCCAGTGCCTCTGAAGCCCTGGCCAGCCCTGTGGGCCCTGGGAGGATGTCACCCACAGGCATCAGGGAACCTAAAGGCATATTTATTTCTGGGGCCAGGGCGAAAGTGTGAGGCGAAAGTGTGAGGCTCTGCGCAGGCTCTCAGCTGTGGGGCTTCCCTGGGACGCCTCTTGGCCTCCGCTGAGCCACCAGGCTCAGGAGGGTCACCTTCCACTGCAGCCACCTGCCAGAGATGAGGCTTATGGCTCCAGACCCCTGCTGCCTCTGTGGCCAGCCCTCCACCCCTAGGCCCTCAGCCCCAACCCAGAGGACTGGGCAGAGACTGTGGGCTGGCTGTGCCCACCTCACGGCCTGATACACGCCCCAGCAGTTCATGGGGACCACCTCGCCAGGGGCCACATCCTTGACGAAGAACCGCTGCCTCACCAGGGACATGAGAACCTTGCGGCTGCCCAGTGTCAGCGCCCAAGGACCCTCCTCACTCCACAGGTGCACCATGCTCTCCCTCAGGGCTGCCATCTCCTGTGTGCGCTGTGGACACAGGGGTACCCATGTCACCCGGAGCTGTTAAGGAGGACACAGGACGATGGCAGGGCCGTGGGGTCAGGCCTGGGGCAGAAGCCAGGACGTATGGGGCTTATCTCCCATGGGAAAGCCAGACTGAGGCCCTTATCTTTGGGAAAACTGCTCAGCGCCAGACTTGCAGACAGCAGGAAGACTACAGAGCTAGGGACTCGCCTGTCTGGGCATGGGTGGCGTCAGGCTGCCTGGGCCCAGCAGCCACCCTGACCCACTGAGCCAGGCCCAACCATGGGTTCCTCTCACCAGTTTGGTTTCTGTGTTAAACTTGAGGTTCTGAATGGTCTTGTTTGCCTGGATGCTGTTTTCCAACTTTATTATTTGGTTCTGAAACTAAACACAGCCCCCCATTTAGGGGCACAGTCTCGGCCAGTCTGGCAGGGTCAGCTGTCCCCAGGGTGCCCTCACCCGCAAATTACTACATGCTTGGAACTTGAGCATAAGCCACCTTGTGTCCCAGTCTGTAGTGAGGAGGGCCCTGAGTGGTCCTGGCCACTGTTTAGGAATGTTCCTGCCCTCGTGACTGCTACCACCCCCCAGTGCAATAGAGGTTCCATACAGGTGCCCCTATGGAACTTGCAGAGGCTGAGATGCCCCTGAGCTGGGAGTCCTGTTGCTGGCCTTTCAGGGGGCCCCTCAGTGCAGGCTTGAGCTGACAGTGCTCATGAGGCCTGGGGGGGAGGGGACACTGGGCTGAGGCAGGACAGGAAGAGCCCTGAGGGTGAGTGGGTGTGACCCCACCTAAAGAAGTGATTCCCCTTTGTGGGTGTGGATGAACTAGAGGCTCCCCATTCCCTGGGCCCCATGATACCGTGGCCAGTCGGCCCTGAATCTCAGCAATCTTCCGCCCGGGGCTTTCCTCCCTAAGCAGCTGCACAGATGACAGCAGGGCAGTCAGCTCCTGCCGTAAAGCCCCGACTTCAGACTCTCTGCAGGCACCGAGACAAGGGTCAGCTGTGGGTACGCCCAGGTCAGGTAGGGCTATGGGAGCTCAAAGGGGCTCAGCCTTGCTGCTCCTCCAGTGGGGATGGGGAGAAGCTGTGCAGGCTACACAAGGCAAGGGAGGGGACAAGGCTGCCATGGCACTTAGGGCCTGTGGGTACCATGGGGACCAGCCCAGCCCAGTGACTGTCAGTGGAGCCCCTGCCTCACCGCGCCCTGCCTTCCGCACAGATCTTGAGGTCTGAGTCGCTCTTGTGGAAAATGCACCTGTCTGAGATGCTTTCTATCTGAAACACAAGGCAGAAGCAGCAGATAGCCCGGGTGGGGGGGGAGGGTGGCCCCAGCATAGCCAGCTGGCCAGGACTGCTTTGGCCTTAGCCCACAGCCAAGGGTAGGTACAGAGGGGAAGGGCCCCATGCCATACCTGAGGTCTGCAGCTTCACCCACCTGCCGGGGAAGGCTGTCCACCTTCTCCCACATCCCCCGCAGATGTGCAGCAACCTCCTTTTGCCACCTGGCCAGGTCCTCGACTGACCTCCTCTCTGCACCTTCCCACTCATTCCTCACCTGGGACATACACACTCAGTAAGGGCCAGAGCCCAGGGCACAGGGCAGCCCGAGGAGGCAGGCCACAGAGTTCCTGAGGGCAGGCAGCACAGCTGTGCAGACTGGACTGACATGCCCAGGACAGACAAGCCAGATAGGGCCAAGAACAGCACCAGGGCCTGCCCTAATGGGCTCCCCCGCATCCCTGAGAAGAGACCCGCTGAGGGTGAGCAGGATAGGCCTGAGCAAACAGCCCGGCCACTTCAGGAGAGGAGAGAGAGGCTGGGGTCCAAAGCCACTGGGGGCTGTTCTGACCACATATGTTCCCAGAAGGCAGCAGGGCAGGCCTTGGTATCAAGCCCCCAACCATAGGGTGGACACCCATGCTCATGACAGCAGCACTCATGACAGACAAATGGAAATAAGCCTAATGCCCATCACTGGGTAAGTAGACACACACTACACAGTCCATCCCATGATGGGACAGTGTTCAGCTACGAGGCAGCTGAAGCTCCCACGCAGGCTACAGCGCTCAGGGAGAAGCCAGGCACAGAGCTGTGCATTGTGACTCCACTTATGTAAAATGCCAGGACAACAAATTCATGAGGATAGGAAGTCCCAAGGACTAGGCGGTGGCTGCTAATGGGTATGGGGTTCTTTGCGGGGTGTGTGTGTGTGTGTGATGAGAATGTTCTAAAATTGACTGTGGCAATGGCTGCCCAAGCCCCTGAAAGAACAAATATGGGCTGCACACTTCCACAGGGTCAGCATGTGGCATGCAAATCATGTCTCAATCAAGTGCAGGTACCAGCCTGCCCCATAGAGCTCCCTCAGCAACCCCCGGAGGCTCTAGGTCAAGCAACAACAGCTCCACTTCAGGAAGAGGCTGCTGCAGGGGATGTCCTTGGGGCATAGGTCTCCTAGGTAGGTGGGAAGCTCATGACCCCAGGGGCCAGGCACCCATCTTCCTGAATGTGCCTTCTTTCCCCTGAGATCTGGGTTCACCTCAGACAGCCTTAGGCCCAGCATCTGCTCTTGTAGGTCCAGCCTCCAGCTCAGGGTCAGGAATTGGTCATTCAGATCCTTCAGCTGTCCAGCCAGCTGGGCTACCGATGCCTCTAGGCCCTGGCTCTTCTCTTGGAGCTGCAGGGGCAGGTGGGGAACAGGGAATCCAGTTGAATACCTATCCTGTGTACCTGGGCCACCCTGCTGGGGTCCTGGGCCTCTATGCCCACCCTGCCTCTCACCACTGCCAGCTGCCTGTGCGTCTCCTGCCAGGCCAGGTCATTGGCCAGCTGCGCAGCCTCCAGGCTCTCCTGAACCTGGGAGGCCAGTTCCTCGGCCTGGCTCTCCTCCAAGCACCCCTTGGCATCCCTGGGGGGTGGTGCCATCAAGACTGTCCCTCAGCCAGGGGTGACCCACTCCTCAGTACTCAGCCAAGGAAGGGAGCCCAGGGCTGAGAAGATGGAGTGCAGCTGTAGGGGTACCAAGACTGGTGCTGTACCCCTGAGCCCCCAGCAAGGGACAGGCAGGGGTCCCCCCACAGGAGAAGTAGATCCTCTGTCCCATGTATCCTGCTGGGCTTAGCACTCCATTTGGGACTGCTGGGGGGAGGCACAGCCACTGCTGCCGGCTCCTGAGTGAGGTGCTGGGGTCCCCCTGGCCTGACAGCCATGAGGCCCCAGACAGCCTTAGGGACACCCACCGGGCCTTCTGCTCGGTCATCAGGATGCGCTTCAGTGATGCCTGGTTCTGCCGCACAAACTTGGTCAGCTGAACCACAGCTGCGTCCAGACTGCGGCACTGCGCCAGGAGGTGGCCTTGCTCCTGCTGCCAGGGGGAGGCAGCCTTGAGCCCCTTGCCCCTGTCTCTGTCCCACCCACCTATCCAGATCTGCCAGGCCCCACCTGGCGCTGACCACACACAGACCGCAGGCGCTCCTCTGTCAGTTCCTGCAGCGCTTCCCAGTGGCCCTCCAGCTCCTCCCGCAGGCGGCACTCCAGCCGCAGCCGTGAGCTTTCTGCAGCCTTCATCCTCTGTGGGAAGAGCCCAGTCTGCCGAGGGTCTGGCCTAGGGGATGTGGCCAGGTGGGCAGGAGGTGGCCCCCACCTTCTCCAGTGCAAGGAAGCTCTTCTGCAGGAAGCTGCATAGCTTGGCCTCCCTCTTCAGGAAGCGGAGGCTCATCTCCTCGCTGAGCTTGGTCACCTGGGCCTGGGGAGGGTCCCCATCATCCCTGTGTGGCCTCTGCTGGACATCGGTGGCCCAGGCGTAGCCGGACAGAGCCCTCAGGGCCCTGTCTCCTCCCAGATAGCTGCCTTCCTGCTGTACTGGGGATCTGGGGAGCAGGGGCAGGTGAAGCACAGCCTAGCCCATGCCACAGAACAGAAAGCTCCATCTGCCTGAGCCCCTACTGGCCTCCTGCCCCCAGGAGGGTGCCCTGGAGCAGGCAGATGGTCACGCTGCAGTCTTGCAGGGTCTCTGTGTTACCTCTCGACCCCAAAGTAGCCATTGATGACATAAAAAACTGCTTGTGGCTGTGTGCCAATAAAACCTTATGCACAAGAACAGGCAGTAGGCCTTGGCTTTCAGAGAGTGCTCAGATGCCCCCGGCTCAGGGAGAAGGCAGCACTGCCACAGGGGCAGTCCCCTGCACCAGGGATGTGAGAGCCTTAGCCCAGTGCCTTCACCCCCTCTTTAGCTTTCCTAGTCCCAATCACGTGGGCAGAACCAGAAAGAAAGCCAGTAGCAGGGAGACCCTTTTGATAGGAGAGGCACAGGCTGTGACAGTAGGGGTTTCCTTGGGCTCTCCTGGCCAGCCCTGCCTAGGTTGGGCCTGGCCTCCTGTGGTACCTGCATCCTGGCCACCTCATGGCCCAATTTCTGGCTGGCATCCTCCTGGCTCTTCTGCAGGGTGCTGCAAGCTGCCTCTCGACCCTGCTCTTCTTGCTTCACCAAGTCAGTCAGCGTGGCCAGCCTGGGCACATGGGCTGCAGTCACACCAGCCCAGCTGATCACAGGGCCTGTCTGGGGGGCCAGGGCTGACTCCCAGGCTGGGTAACCAGGACACACACAACCCCACCCAGGCACATGTAGGAGTAGGGAGCAGACCTTGGAGTAAGAGCCAGGCACCAGCAAGGGATAGGGCCAGGGCCTGGGCTTAGGTTTCCTTCCCCACATGGTCCCCAGCAGCCAGCAGCTCAGCCAAGGGCAGGGGAAATCCAGCTAGAAGTACCTTGGCTGAGCCAGTGACCCCTCCACCCCCCATATCCCTGACGTGTTGGGCTTAGAGGTAGCCCTGACGGGAGGCAGGTGGGCCTACCTGAGGGCTGCCTCCTGTTCGGCACCCTTGCGCTCCGAGTCTTGCAGTGTCTGCTTCCTCCTGATCTGGGCCAAGGCTTCCCGGACCTCCACCAGCCTGGCATACAGGGTCCACTTCTGATAGGCCCGGAGCAGGCTGGGCAGCCTTTGGGGGCTGCAAGACCAGCTCGGGTGCCCTGCATCCTGCCTTCTATTGTGTCCCCTGGCTCTGTGGGCTGCTGAGGTGCCTTTAGATCCAGGCCTCTCTGAGGGGGGCAGACAGCTGACTGGGGATATGAAGACCTTGGCTGTGCCCAGAAGGGCTCTAGCACTGGCCACTACTTTCTGGAAGCCCAAGCCCCTATCCTCCCACTGAGGATGTGCTTGCAAGTACATGTGAAGGGTACCTTTGGTCCAGGGCTTGCATCTGGTTCTGGTTCTGATTCTGGGGGCCAAGGAACTGCAAGGAGGAAGGTGTGGGCTGGCATGGGCCTAGGGGCTGCCACCGGCCTTTGGAGCCCTCCTGACTCAGATATGGTGGGGCTTCCACGCTCTGGGGCTGGGCAACTGGGGCTGTGGTAGGCTCGGGGCTGCCTGCCACCCCTAGGAAGTGGGGTGCTCGGCCCATGGCGGGAAGTGCTGCTAACCTCTGGCGCCTCCTTCTCTGGGGTCCGAGCTGCCTGCTGTTGCACCTCTCGCTGCAGCTGTGTCAGCTCCGAGCCCTGCAGCTGTACATGGGCCCGCAGGCGGACCAGCTCTCGCAGCAGGCTGAGCATGGTGTGCTCACAGCGTTCTTCGTGTCCCTGTAGGCGGGCCATCTCAGCCTGCAGAGAGGCCACCCTAGTCAGGGTGGAAGTAGGACCAAGTCAGGCTGTGCTCTGGAGGGTGTGGTCCTCCCGCTCCCATGCCTGCAGGCTCACCACTGCTCCAGCTGATCCCAGCGCTTGGCAGTGTCCTGCTCTGGGACAGAGGTGGTAGACACTAGGTGGCTGGACTCATACCTCTCTGAGACCTCTTCCAGACTCAAGGGCTCAAGGCTGGTCAAGCTTTCCACCAGGAGCCCCAGGTCCTCTAGGGTGACAGCGCTAAGCTGGGAGAGTGGCGATGCCCTGGAGGACAGGCTGCTGTCTGCTGGCTCTGCAAAAAGGTGCCTTAGGCACTCACCCCTCAGGGCACTGGCTCTCATTAGGTGATAGATAATACACTAGATAGTACCCCAACTGCTGCAGGACACCACCTGAGCTGGCACAGCTGGGTGCAGATAGAGGATCAGCTCAGCAAGGCCCAGGACTCTGAGGACACACAGCACTAGACAGCAGAAACAGGACATTGTCCCACCTGGCCAGCTCCAGAGGAAATTCCAAGGGGCTAGGAAGCAAAGCCATCCTGTGGGGCTCACACTAGCAGCTAGGATGTTCCCTAGAACTTGTTCTTCGCAACTAGGTCCCTAGCAGCCAGCTCACCTGACATGGCTTTATCAGCAGTCCCCCTGCAGCTGTGGCCCTGGATCTCTGACCTTGGTGGTTGGTTGTCCAGCACTGATGGAAGACAGGGAGGTTAGGGGCTGGCTGTAGAGAGGCAGAGAAGTCAGGCTGGAAGCCGGGGAGTGAGCAGGGTGCAGTGTGGTGAACTCTTGCCCTCACATCTTGCTCTTTCCCAGATGATCCCCCAAGGGGCAGGTATGGCTGGACAGCTAGGGCTATTCCGTAACCTTACTTTCCTCACCAGAACCTCGTGATTTCACAGCCCAACTGCCGGTGGAACCTGAGCCCTCAACCTTCCCATTCCTGCAAGTCCTCTCCAACTGCCTGCTTCTGGAAGGATCTGATGGGATGCCATTCCCAAGGGGCACAAAGGAGCATCTCTCAGTGGTTGATGGCCCCTGGTGTAGGTCAGGAGACCCCAGCCTGGCCTGGGCCCTAAGGGAAGGGATGCCAGGAGCAGTGGTAGGCCGTGGGCTGGAGAATGGAGCACTGAGACTAAGAGCCTGGGACAGACTGAACAGCCAGTCCTACACACCAGAGGGCAGAAACAGCTGGCCCTAAAGGATGTGGTCTAAAGCAGTGCAGCCGAGAGGAGGGGGCCAGTTACCAGTGATGCCAACCTTTCTAGCAACCACATTAAAAAGTAGATAGGCCAGACACAGTGGCTCATGCCTATGATCCTAGCATTCTGGGAGACCAAAGTGGGAGGATCCCTTGAGCTCAGGAGTTTGAGCTGTAATGACCTATTGCACTCTAACTGGGGTAACACAGTGTGACTCAGTCTCAAAAAAAAAAAAAAGAAAAAGTAAAGAGACAGGCAAAATGAACTTTATAGGTCACTTTATTTAACCTAATATATCCAAAATATTATTTCAATGGTAACCTATACAAAACAATTGTTAAGGGACATTGCACATGCTTTTTAGTACCACATCTCTGAGGCCTGGTGTGGGGCATCTTGCTTCAGCCCAGCTGGTATGCTTGACCCTGTGGGGAAGTCCCCATGCCCAACTCCTCAGGTAGATTCAGGGCTCTCTGGGAAGAAACCTTCCCACCCTTGCCCAGGTGCGGAGACAAGGGACCCAGAGCTAGGAAGGTAGGAACAAGGCTCTTCATCCCCATGGAAGGGGATAAAGAGGAAGAGGACAGGCGTGGTGGTCAGTCCTCCAGGCAAGGGCCATTCTCACAAGACCATACCTCAGACCTCCTTCCTGTGGGACCCTGGGGTGGCTGCAGTGCCAGGGGCTGGTGCTACAGCCATCTAGGGAAGCCACTGCCATTCACAGGATAGCCTGATTGCAGAGCCCCACCCCCAAACCCTAGGCTGTGGGACTGTAGCCCAGGTTCGGTAGGAACATGAGAGTGGCACTGGCTGACTGGTGCAATTCCTTTTTTTCTCACACTCCGGAGCCACGGAAGGCTGTGAGAGAGGGCTGCCTGCCGGCTTTTGGGCCCTCCCTCAGAAGAGAACACCAAGGGGCCCCCATGTGCTGTCTAGCAGAGGACATAGGCTGCTCTGACAGACCTGTTCCATGATGCACGGGCTGCACGCACCAGCGCTCACCATCCCTTCGGAGCCACCTGCTCTGTGGTAGGCACAGGCAGGTGGGAGAGTTGCCGCTGACTGCAGGCTCTCCCAAGTTGAAGCAAGACGCAGGTGTGGGGACCCCCAGCTCCAAGGGCAGGGCTTGGATGACGGAGACGTGGCTGGATTCAGGGGCTCGGCCCTAAGTGATTCTTCTCAGCTCTTGAGACCCAGACCAGTGTTCACCCAAGTCAGGGTACAGACGAGGGTGCATGTGGGGCTCTCCCATGGAGTCCAACCAAGGCTGCTCTCTGGGACTATCCTGCCCCTTAAATTCTGGAGCTTCCAGTCCAGCTGGGGCTGTCATTCAAGCCCGGCAGCCATAGGCTGTCAGTTCCCTGCTGGAGACCAGACCAAGCCCACAGCTTGGGGACCAGGCCAGCTCCCAGGCCTCAAAGCCTCCCACATGGGGACACCAGGCACAGCCACATGCCAGCCCCTCACTGGCTTAAATCAGCCAGCAGCCGGAAAGAGTGTCGCACACGCATTTGATCCCTGAAGTTAAGAACCCAGGAGAAAGCCAAGTCCGGGGCCAAGGTACAGGGGACATGGTGAGGATGTAAACCAGTTGCCCTCAACCAGGGCTATGTTCACTTGCCAGCTGGCCTAGCCCCAAGTCTGGGGTACACCTGCTCCTGCTGCTGCTCAGGAAGTGAGGCTTTGACCAAGAGACCAGTGACCTTGAGGGGAGGCTAAAGGGGCTGAAGCGCCAGTGCCACTGCCCACCAAGGGTAGGGCAGGGCTCATGTTTGGGCCAGTGAGAGCTCCTCCAAGCCGCCCTTCCCCAGACGGTACCTGGCGAGGTCCTTCCTGGTCACCAGCCCGACAACCTGCAGGGCAAAGCCAGGTCAGGCCCACACCAGCACCTGCCACCGTGCGTGTGGGGTAGATAGGGCAGCACAGCAAGGCAAGGGGTGTGGCACTAGGCTGGGTCTTGTGCTTCAGTATTCCCTGCAGGGAGCCAGCAACCAGGGTACCCTCGCCCAGGGCTGGCACAAGCAGGACATAGACCACTTGGCCACCCCTTAACCACCCACCTACCACTCACCTGATTGTGGTTGTCCACTACCACCAGATGCCGCAGGCCCAGGGCCCGGAAGAGCTTGAATACACGAGGTAGGGATGCCTCCTGCAATGTCAGCACAGCTGGGGCTCACCCATGCCTACCCAGGCACAGTCAGCACTGCTACCAGGTATTGGGGTGCATCCTGGACTCCCAGCCCCCAATCCATGCTGCTGTTACCCATGCTCCCAAAGCCTGAGG